GTACCCAAACTGACGGGATCTGTATCTGGCAGAATGCCAAGAAATATCCAATTCATGCTGAAGAGGAAATACGTCAGAGTTCGTTATTGCAAGGCAGGTATGGAGTCGTGTCCGCCTTCGAAAAAAATTGCAGAAAATGCAGGGGTGGGGAGAGGATGGGTCCAGAAAGATTCATCAAATGGCACAGGAAAAAGACTATTCAAAACGATGAGAATTGCTGATTTGAAAGGGGGAAGAATGTTATTGTTCTGAGATATCGTTTAGGGTGAATAAGGCATGTAGGTCCGTTCAAGGGAAAGAATGTAAACAAAATAACGTTCGCAAAAAGCAACTGAGTGGTCTTTTGTGTGGGAACAGCACCAGTCTATGCACAATGACAAGGCCATCCAAACTATGTACAATGACCATCATAGGAAATATTTTATTTTTAGTGCACCTAAACGCCGCACCCGTTGAAAATTTAAGTTTTAAACACGTAAACGCTGCTGCGTTTCTTCCGGAAATTACGGTAATTGGAATTTTTGAGACAGCGATTATAGGACTTAAGCAATGAAACTTTGTAACTGAATAAGAAGTTATATCTGTTTACAGAATTAAATTGAAAATATTAGCATAAAAAAGCAACTTAAACAACTTACAGTGAAAGAAATGTTAAATAAAGTAAACAAATAAATATTAAACAGTTTTTTTGGTAAATTTTGTTACTCTTTAGATCATAAATGCTTTATTATTTCATAAATCACGATTTTATATTGTTAATTTTGTAATTTCTACATGCCATCTTATAAGTTAAATTGATGATCTAATATTCGGAAGAATTTCAAATCCAGAATTGCCGAAGTCCCTAGGAGTCCAGATCTCGGATGCTGTAATTCATGACATAATTATAACAGTCATCCACAATAACTGGAAATTATTTTTTTCTTACCTATTTTACATTACACATATGTAATTTCATTACAATTAGTCAATTGTTCATGTTTTTAATATTCATTACGATAATGACTGAAACTTACACTTGTATTTTCCATATGGTTGCCCAAAGTGTAATTCTTTATCATTTTGTATGCTAATATTCAAAATTATTTAGTTTTCATTCTGTATTTACTTTATTCTCATAAATATTGTAAAGTTCTTAACATTAATTCAAACATTTTAAAAATAGTTCAAAAGCTTGTTGATTAATCACATTACAATTTAATAAACTTCCCTGGAAAAAATATTAAAATTCTTTAACTCAAAAATGGTTATTTAAATTTATATTTCAAATACCATAAGATTTTTATTTGCATTTTCATAAAATTGCTCTATATTTTAAATTCAGTATAATAAAAAAATTATCATTTTACTATTCTTTTACAATGTAAAATATTTTTAACTGCTCTGTTAACTGAAAAATGACTTAAAAGATACAAGACTCATATGGCTTGTACTATTATTAAGAAATTCTTCACTTAGTTCAAAAATGGTTATTTAAATTTATATTTCAAACACTATAAAATTTTTATTTTAATTTTCATAAAATCACTCTATATTTTAAATTTACTATAATTAATAAAAAATATTTTATCTTTTATAATAAAAAAATTATCATTTAATGAAAAATAACTCAAAAGATACGAAACACGCTTAGCATGTACTATTATTAAGGTAACAATATTAAAAGTATTCACACATTTTATGACTGCAAATTCATTTAAAGAAAAAAAAATCTTGTTATACTTTACTTATTTTTTTAACAGCAATTAATATGTTTCTCCAATATTGCTAAATCAAAGCTATGAAATTGTAATTTAAATTGAAGGCATCATGCTAATCTGAAGATTCTGTGCAGTTTATTTGATTGATGACATCTCTGTTAATTCGTAACTAAAACTGAAGTAGATGAAGAACATCTGGTCTGATTCTTGAAAGTATTATAAACATTTGAATTGAATTTAAGCACTAGTATACCGCAGTCGATTAAAATTTGATCAGCTAATTTCATTGCAGAGCCTAATTTTTAATTTTTGGCAGAAATATTGATCAACATCTTTAAATTTATTATAAGTTACTGAAACAAATCACCAAAGGTAAATCATTATAAACTGGAAAAATATGTGAGAAGTTTATCTTCTAAAGGATTCCAATTATCTGTTTCAACATACTTGCAAATTTAGAATGTTAGTGCAACATTGATGTTTGCACCACATTACTTCCTTGTTTTACGGAATGTTAAATTATATGCATTTTTTCTTGCATTTCATTTAAACTTGTCGGATTTAATTGAATCTATTTCGTGGATAGTGCACAAACCACAATAGAATAAATGCACTCTTTAAAGTTCACTATATTTATTTACCATAGTGACACTTTGGCTTTAGGTTCACTTAACAGCATCACATCTCCTTCAATTTTATTACTCAGAGTGCACAAAAATTATATCATCTGAAGAATTACCACAAGTTAAATACTATAATAAAGTCAAATACTATAATAAATCTAAAATGATGTATAAAAGAAATTAAACAAACAACCAAAAAAAAAAAAAAAACTGTTTCACAGACGATTCATTATTTCTCGTTCAATTAATACAGTTCTCACTTGTGACAAGGCAAAAATACATAAAAACTCAAAATATCTATATTAAAATTATGAAGTAAATCTTAAAGCTTATTTCCTCAAATAAATCCCAGAATGGATTAAGCATGATTTAAATCGCAATAATAAAAGAATTACATTACCTTTGTTGTTGTAAAACTTAGTTTCTCTAGATTGCCAACAAATCCACTATTCTGCTAAGTTTCAAATTTAAAGAAATATGGCTGCTATGGCAAACAAATTAGGCTTAGCTGCACTTAAGCAACTTTTATATTGTTGATAATTTTACAATTATAACACGCAGGTTAACTAAAGGCATAAAAACCTTAACCGGAAGATAAGAACAACATAATTCAATAATTTTTAAAGGAAAAAATGCACAATTTACAAACATATAAGAAAAAAGAAACTGAGCTGACTGAGTCGAGTAACAGAGTAGATATATATATACTCATATATTGTATGATCTTAAATCCATTTAGTGCGAAAACACTTAACATTTTGCTTTCAAATTACTTCAAAATATAACTTACCAGTATGGATTCACACTTTTAAAATAATTCTACTTTAATTAAACTTAGGAGATAATATAATCAATTAATCAATACTGTTTAGGAAATAAATTATACTCATATATTTATATACTTCTTGTGTAGCCGATTGCAACCAAAATGGGAGCGCACATCTACATGTTATAGCAATCCTATCTACAAAATTTCAACTTTCTGAGGCTACTCATTTTTGAGTATTGCGAGATATGTACGCACAGACACCATGAAAAAAAATCTCTTCAGTATCCATTTTAAATAACTTTTATTATTTTTTTTGGGGGGGGAAAGAGTCCTTTATTCTGTCCGTATGCACAGATGCTATGCAAAAACTTTGTTAAATTGCATTCGACAGTGGTCAAAGTGGATATTTTTGTTGAAATATGATACCCAAAATTTTTCACAATAATGATATTTCTTTTGTACTTCGTACAAGGAAGTAATTAGGAAACAATATCAATTTTTCTGTTTCGGAAAGTGTTTTGATACTACATTGCCTTTCAAAGAACATTAAATATTTGTCAATTGGAAAATTTTTTGATCCATCAAAAATGCCCATGTAAATTAATTTTTGTCTCAGGTACAACTTCAGTAGATTTCTTTTCTTGAGACATTGCAGATGTAAATTTTGTCTCCATTAAAATCAGAAAAGAACAGCCATTTTCATCTTGATTGTAAAATGTATGTTCTGGTGAGACACATTTTGGCTGGGAGACTTCCATTGGTTGGAGAAGGAGAATCTCGTACCTCGAAAAAAGTTTTCCAAGCCTCGCATGTTGTTAGATGTGTTAAGACTATTAGATTCTTTGATAATAATACAAATTTTTCATAGTTATCTGTTTCCTTTATAATTTCATCAACAAACTGGTCCATGAAAATTGTTTGAAAAAATGAATTTGTTAAAAAAATAAAAATGAATATAAAAATTTTGAAAGTCCATGTTTTCATCAATTTTTGACTGGTCCATGAAAATTGTTTGAAAAAATGAATTTGTTAAAAAAATATTAGAAGAAATTTGTTGACCTGTCACACCTGATTTTATTGAAAAATTGAATGTAAGAGGCATGCACCGATTCTCTGTAATAATGATCCAGTCATCATCTTCCACTGAGGTGGTTGTGTTATTGTTGGTGCCATATTCAGTAGGCTGCAATTTTTTTTTTTCATTAGCTACTATATCGCTATCAGTATCACTATATCCATTTTCATTTAAGTAATTTGTAGCCAAATTTATTTCTGTATAATTTAAATTCTTTGCTTTCTAAAAATATATTTTTTTTATGATTATTAATTCCTTCCATTTTAGGGTAAGGGATATTTGGAAGGATCATGGCAAAGGCATGATCAGAAAAAATGTAGACAGTTCAACTGGTAGATTGATCACAATAAGCATATACAGAAATCTAGCCCTACATTTAATACAAAATTATTTTTAGATGCCACACAACAGCACCGGTGGCAGTGGAATTATCAGTTCTTATTACAGTGTTGCAATTAAACCAACTGGATGAGTTTGTCAACATATCTTATGATGTCACTGCAGTGGCACTGATGAAGTTACAAATATATGAACAATATTGCTGCTGCAGTTACAAAAGAGTTATCAGCTTTTCTTAAATGTCACTGCAATGGTGACATTATAGAGCAAGGGGTTAAATATATGTTGTAAAAATATATTTCTAAATTAATTACATATCAGCCTTTTGCATTTTAAAAAATTTTTATATTGTATGTTTGTAGTTCTTTCCTTCTAGGAGTTTATTATATTTTCTTGCTTGCAGATGCAAACATAAAAGTTATTTCTTGTACATAAAAGTTTTTTCTCATTGTTTCTCATTGACCACTGTCGAATTTTTTCCTTCTTTTCTTTAGATTGTTTGTGAAAAACCTTCAGGTATGTTCACAAATGGCATTTCGAGAGAATATGAAAATAAGTTTAATGAAGTACTACCTGATGGGTGGTTGGAATTATTGAAACAAAGTACTAGAGTTGACATTGATGATATAAATATGTAAGTATATATGAAAGCTACATGTTTTTACATTTCTCTAAACTTCTTTTTTTTAAAAGTATTTCATTTTGCATATCATTATGTGTAGCCATAAGTGAAAAATGAGCATAAGTATTTAGATTTTTCTTTATGTTCAGCAGTCGTAATTATTGAATTCCAGTATGTTGAACCAATACGTTATATGTTATGTGTATGAATTTTCCGTCTTGAAATATAACAGCTGTTCAATAAGACTAAAATTATAAAAAATACAGACTACCTTTAATGGCCATCATTTACATGGTCACCGTGGCACACAATGCATTTATCCCAATGTTCTGTCTACTTCTGAAAGACATGTAAAAGTCCTTTTTTTTTTTTTTTTTTTTTTTTTTTTTTACAGCTTTTTCAAAACTGCCTTTGCAGCCTTTATGCATTCTTTGTTGCTTGCAAAATGTTTGCCTCGTAATAGTTTCTTAAGTTCAGGAAACAGCCAGAAATCGCATGGAGCGAGATCAGGACTGTATGGAGGGTGCAGTAAAATCTCTGCTGCAAAACATCGTGTACGGAATGAACAATATGTGGTTGGGCACTGTCATGATGCAATAGGAAGCCATTTCGGAGCAATGGATGTTTCCTTTGAATGTGCTGTACCATTGTTCTTAAGACATTCGCACAGTACGAGCCGTTTACGGTATTACCAGGTTTGACAGCGTGTTGATACACAATTCTTTCATAATAAAAAAAAAAAATTATGGTGATAAATTTATCAGCTGATTTCACAGTTTTTGCTTTCTTGGGAGTAGACGAAGACGGATGCTTCAATTCACTACTTTGTTGTTTCATGGTTGGGTCATGGTGATACGACCAAGCTTCATCTGCTGTAATGATGCGTTTTAAGAAATTGCCGTCTTCTTGTTCCAGTCTTTCTTTCCATTATGTGCACACATCCACTCTATGCTGCATTTGCTCAGGTGTCAACAATTTCGGAATCCATCGCGCACAACCATGTTTCAGGTGCAAATGTTCTGCCATGATTGAGTGAACATTTCCTACAGAAATATTCAATAGAGCATGCAGCTGATGTACTGTAATTCTGCAGTCCTCTTTGATAATAACTGCAGCTGTTTTAATCATTGTCTCTGTAACGGACATTGAAGATTGTCCCTCAGGTTCGATATCTTCCACATTTTGCCTGCCTTTCTTAAAAGCTTTATGCCAGCTAAAAACACTAACCCTTGCTAATGCTTCATTGTTTAAAGTTTCATGTATCATGTCAAAGGTCTCCGATGCTGATTCTTGCAGACGAACACAAAAGTTAATCGCATAACGTCGTTCTGTCGACGCTTCCATTTTAACAACTGGCCACGTCTCATAGGCGCCCGCAAACATGCTTTAGTTCAATTATGTGATACTCAGGAACATAAGTTTGTACACGCCACCTATCGGTAGCTTTTGTTAATACAGACAACAAACTATTTTTATGCCACAGAAATTAACATTCCGATAAGTGGTTTTGCGGCAGTAAAATTAGTCTTATTACTTATTGAATAGCCCATGTAAATGTATTTCAGTAGGAAAAACAAATATGGGCTTAAAATAAAATTATGTGCATATTTATAATTTTTTTTAATGTATGTAAAATATATTTCATTTTTTGCAGATAAACACTTAAATTTAAAAATCTAGTCTGCTGTATAGAAATATATGGAATCATATGGTGTATTATGTAATTATTATATAATATACAGTATGTTTTGCAATATAGAAACCTGTGTTGGCGTAGTCTACGATTTTCTACTTTTAGCGGTTGGGGCTGGGCCGATCAGGATACGATTATTGAATCATAAACACCAAAGAAATTTATCTATCCTGCAGATACTGCTAATACTCAGATAATTGAATCAAGCCGAGGAATTTTGAAGTTAAGGATTCTGCACAATGCATAAAGTACCCTCACCCCCATAAATGCTTCGATGGCACCCATGTTTCCAAGCATAATGAAGATCCATTAATAAAAAATGACTATTTTTTGGCCTTGCTGTGTGTCATAATGTATATGGCTGAACGACTCGTAAAAAAGACCTGTTAAGGCGCACTCTTACTTTTGATTTATAAAATTGAAAGCCATTTAAATTTGATGGGTTATTAAATTAATGGAGTCATTTTCATTTGTGTATTCTTAATTATTATTTATTTACTTTCATAATTAAAACGTAGCATTTTAGTGGTGCCATCTAAAAAGTAAATAAGTGACTAAAAGGATTGCATACTACATCATTACCTGGAAATCAATCATATTACACATTTTAAATTTGATGCATTGTTTAAAGAATGTTTTCAGTTTATGTTTGGATGTGCAAATGTTGTAGAAGTGTTATATATATATATATATATATGCATTTTCTGATACCCTTGTTCAAAATATTTAATATATTTATGTGTGAAGGAAACAGTGTGCGTAAGTATTTATAGAATACATTTCATCATGAATTGGGAAATTAAGGAAATAAAATTGTAATATACATAGAGAGAAAGAGTCGAGAATCTCCTGTTAAAGGACACTCTTGCGATGTAGTATTTTTCTGTTATTAGAAAGTGTCTGCTAAGTAGGAATGCATTCCCTTCAACGGTTTCAGGATTCGACAATTGTCCATTAACAGGAAGTGTCCATTAATTTTTTCATTTAGTATATATAAGATATAATTTCATTTCTTAACCCCTTCGCGCTGACTGTCACGTCTATGTGCCAGCAATGAACACACTCACTTCCCGGCCGACATGCAGGTGTGCCAGAGCATTTTCCCTTTCAGCCCCGACTGTCACGTATTTGTGCCAGTGTCCTGGAACGTTTTAAAAACTATAATTTCTGCCACAAGATGGCACTGTATGTCCATATGGTTTCAGATACACGCACATTAGGCCTTCTACTCGAAATGAGAGAAGCATGACTCACATATACGTGTTTTTGATTATATAAACAAAAGGGGAAATAAATGTTTCCGAATGGCGTGATTTATGATGTCTCTTTAAATCGTTGTTTATTCGCACATGGTAGTTGTTTAGTTAAGTAGAGAAGTTTCATTTGCGCTAAAGCGTTGGGTATTTCAGTTTGCATTTCAGTTTTTAGAAAATATTAGATCTTAGACGTGAATTCTTTCTATTTTTACCGTTGCAATGTCGAATTGTCAAAAAATGTTTAACAGAGCATGAAATAGCAGAAATGATGCAAAATATTTCAGATATTGATTCTGAAACAGATTCTGATAGTAGTGATAGTGATACTATGATATATTCTGATCATAAAGAATCTGGCGAATCTAATGATGATGAGGACATTTCGGACATCTGTATGCCGAGTACGTCAAAAGCAAGTACTTCTCCATGGTCATTCACAATAGAAAATTTTTAAAAATCCTCCAAAATAGCAAATGAGTTATTACGAGTGCAAGGAATGAAACGTAGGACTGTGTGTAGATCCCTGTTTTCAAATTTTTTCATACGAAAAGAGAATTTTTTAAGTAAATATTTAGTTTTCAGATGTATAATGTTAAAAGTGTTAAAATGGTGAGTAATGAAAATAAAATGTGTAAATATGCATTTAAACAAGAAATAAGGTAATTAGTAAATAGTATATATAAAAATATCTTAAAGCAAATTAAATACTCTATAGAACATTATTAAACAATGCATTGATATTTCAGAAATTTCATGGATTTAGGCTTAATAGCAAAAAGGCCCCCGGTCCTGGACAGACGCTCGCGTAAGACACTGCCGGCCTCCGCGATAAGCGTGCCTTTGCGCTACCCGGCGCGAAGGGGTTAAAAGTCTAATTTCATTAATGTTAATTAATGTAATTTCTTTAAATTCATCTGTCGACTATGGGTCGTGGTGCCACGACCCATAGTTTAAAAAACTCTTCTATAGACCTTTAATCTTCTGAGTGGCATTGTAGAGTCTTCTACTTTTGGGAACATAAAATGTAGACCCTACTGAAGACAAGATAGCAACTTCTCGCTATGTCTTGATAAACAGGCAACTGCCAATGAAGGTTATAACAGCATTTTTTATTTTAACTAAACTGAACTGAACATACTTGGTGCTCACAAACGAACATAAACACAAAACAGTATGAACAATCAGAATGAATCAGTTTTAACTACATGACTGGCTCCTACTTCAATCTAAATCAAATTTATCGGCTGCACACAGCAAAGCTGAATCTACAATATCAATATTTTTTTTAATCGAATGGCGGACATTTGCCTTTTTCAGCATTGGCCACTCCTAAAGCTGGAAGTGGTGGCAATTTTATTGTGGAGACCCCTAATAGGTGGCCACCGTTACCTCCTATGAGGGACAGACAATTTATATCCTTGCCTTCTCTGGAATTCGAGCCGGAGACCTTCAATACCGCAGTCGGCTGCACTAACCAGTATACCGTCTGGGCGGCCTCAGAAGCTAATAAATAGCTCATATAGACTATGCTGGTATTTCAGCCTGGAATACACTGTATAATGCACTGTTAAGGGATGGTACAAAGAGATAATTTGACATAGAGAGAGATGATTGAAACAAGGGATGACAAAAAAAGACTCTTCTTTTTCCAGCATACCAATGAAGAAGAGGTAAAACAGTTGAAGCGTTGTTGATGAAAATACAGACAATACTATAAAGAGTATGGAAGCAGGGAAGTGTAGCATCAAAAACAAAGACACAAGTGTTCAACACCGTCTGATTTGATCTTCTGCCAATATAATTCTAGCTGTCAAGCAGAATGTGAACGAGGAAGAAAACTTGCCTTGAATCCGACCCTATAACAATGTAAGAAACTTCATAAGCTTTATCAAAGGAAGTGCTATTTCTGAAAATTTTGGAGAGATCGGTAATATAGCAGGAGACCTAACAGACTTCTAATAAATCTAATAGGTAGTTCTTTCTTTGTCTTGGGTGGTAAATTTTTTTTAATATCAAGCACATTTTCAGGATCAGGCAAATGGTTGCTGGAATGGCAAGTGGAG